GCAATATAAATATAATAAAACTACCTAAATATTACTTGTATTTAGTATTGTAAAATAAATTTTAATTGTAGATACTTATTGTACAAATATTTTCAGATAAACAAGAGTATGTCCCCAAGTGTTTTACAATCATTAAAACATATTGATTTTTTATACATTTAATAAAGATGCTAACACAATAGCTTAGGGTTCCTTAAAAACTGAAGTATATAAAAGCAGTGTTATTTTTATTATCATCTGTTTCATAAAGAGAATAAAATTCAAATAAAATATAAATAAACTCAAATAAAATATAAAGATACCTCAAGTTTAAAAAACATTTTCACCATTATATTATTTTCATTTTGTGCTTGAATTTGGGACAAAATAAAATTAAGTTACTTTGTCAGGGTAAATGAAATATGAACAAAGATCATGGTAACTATAAAGCACACAATGTTCCAAATAAAAGTTTTAAAAATATACAGTAATATGCAACAATCTTTATGAATAATTTAATTTCTTTTAAAATAATCAAATTTTTCAAAATGGCTAGAAAAATTCCAATTTAAAATATTTCACACAGCAATATATTTATAAAAAGTATAAGATTTATCATCAAAGTGTATACTGTTTTATAAAATAAGCCATATATCCCATAAGAAACAAACAATACTACTGCCTTGTATGAAAACTATTTGAGTTTTTGTTGTAATTTTACCATTTAGCCTTAGTAAGCAATACTTGTTTTTCAGTCACAAGAAAAATTTTATAAACAGGAAAACAATATTTGCCTATTTTTTGAGTATATATTTTCTCATTTTAAAATTGTATGATTTAATCAGTATTTAAACATTTTGTGCATTCTACCCTTTTGTATCTTGTTATGTGAAAAAATGACAAAATTTAGGAATATTTTTTTTCTTTCTTTCTCTTTGCATTTTTGAAACAGGGACTCACTATGGCTGGCCTTGAACTCACTGTCTAACCCAGGCTGGCTTCAAATTCATAACCGGGTCATCTTATCTCAGGCTTTAGAGTAGTGGGATTACCCAGTTGTGTAATTCTTATTAGATTCTCTGTGTGTAGTTTAGAGATATTTCCAAACCCATTTATTGTAACTTCTTACTTAGAAATTGAAATATTGTGCGAGAATGCTCATTAATTTGCAACAATCTATTGCTTTAAATTTAGCCCCCACAATATAACTGTTAAATCAGCAAAGAACTTTCTAATAGGTAACATAAGATTCACCCATATAAGATAATATTAATTTCAACTCAACAGAAGAGATTTGTATTTCAATAAATTAAACCCAGAAATAAATTATAATTTACTAGTCCTATCATCTTTAGTATAAAATATTTTAAATGAGAAATTAAGTCTGGATAATATTTGCTATGGTTCTAACATTATTTTTGCATGGTGATCAAACCAAGAATAAGATAAAACTAAATATAAGTTAAAATTAATATGTTTTTATTAGCTAAGAATAATCTAAGTAATAGAAATAACAAATGGATTTATTTTAATATAAATGATGCTATACAATCATATGTCCAAATTTTGAAATATTTGATTTTATAACCTTAAGCCTTTGCACAGGCTCCCAATTAAAGTTTATATACTACATTTTTCCAGTACAATATTTTAAGTATTTGTGTCTTTATTTATTAATCTTATAAGGATGAGTATTCCTACTATGTGCTCCAAATAAAGCAATGAATTATTTTACTTATCAAGTAATACCAAGTATTCCCCAAAAATATGAAAAAAGAGGGAGGAAAGAAAAATTCATAACAGTATCATCCTCTCCTCTCTTTATATATGAATAAATTTGTATATGCATATATAATATATGCATATATATACAAATTTATGTATATAAATTTATACCTACATGTAAGTTAATCATTGCTAAGGCTAAGTTTTGTAAAAAAATGAAAAGATTTAAATGAAATAAAAACAAATTTTGACATATATGCTAGAAATAAATATATTCTTTTTAATTAAAAACAAATGTTACTAAACTGTTAAAATAGTAGTCCTGTGAAATATTCATCATAGTGCTTCCCATTTTCAATTGAAAATTGAAATTTTTGATTCAGGATAAAAGTGAATAGGAATACAGTTAACGTTGTAGTATATTAGAAAAAAATAGAGCCAAGAAACTATGTAACTGCCTACACTTACATAATTCCACAGCATGTGAAAATTAATAATTATACTCCTTATTCAGACTTAGACCTAATTTCTTATCATTCCCACGTCTCATGTAGTTTTACATGTGTTTTACATTTATGGTATTTACAATGGTAATTAAGGTAGGCTTAGTAAAATTTAATATTAAAATTATTGTGTTTAATTATTGTCATTTGGCATCATATAGATGTTTATTAGTTCAATAAATAATTGTGTACACATGTGGTATCCTTTGTAATCAATATATAAGGGAAGGTCAGTGAGTAAATGTTAAATTCTACTTTTAATATTTTAATATATGGGCCAGAGATATAACTCAGCAGCTTCGGTGTCCACCTGGCAAGCACAAGGTCCTGAATTCGATTCATGATGCCAAAAAAAAAAAAAAAAAAATTTACTATGATGATAGATTTTCCTGTCACTAAAAGTGAGTTTGAATCCATAAATATAAAAAGTGCTTCAAACATTTTATCTTCCTGTAGATTTGATTTTCTGTTTTAATGTTTAGATATTTGATCCATTTTAATTTTAAAATGATACACATGGTTAGAAATATGGTTTCAGTTTCAATCTTCTGCAAGCACATATCTAATTTTCCCATCATCACTTGTATAAACTATCTTTCTAACAATGTATGTTTTTGGTCTCTTTGTCAAAGATCAAATAGGTGGGTGTGTCTAGCAATGTTTCTGGAACTTCTATTCTGTTTCGTTGATCCATAAATCTGTTTTTGTTCCAATATCATGCCATTTTTATCACTATTGCTGTATAGTATAGCTTGGAGTTTGATATTGTAAGGTCTCCCATGAGAAATTACAGCAAGAATTAACTTATGGGATTATATAAAACTAAAAAGCTTCCATACATCAAAAAAATCAATTAGTTAAGTGTCAACCTACAGAATGTGAAAAAAAACATCGATCATACAAACGACTAATATGTAGAATATATAAAAAAGTTTAAAATAAAACTGTACCACCTAAAATTAAAGAGTCAGTCAAACATTGGCAAGGGAAGTGAACAGATAATTCACAGAGAAAATTTAAATGGTCAACTAATTTATGAAATAATTGTTAGCATCTCTGGCCATTGAAGAAATGCAAATTAAAACAGCGCTGAGATTTCATCTTGATCCAGAAAGAATGACAATCAGAAAGAAATAAAAAAATAATAAATATTGGCATGGCTGTGGTGAAAAAGAAACTCTTCTACATTGTTAGTGAAAAGAATGCAGATTAGAAATTCTATATCACACCAGTGTATATCTTCTCCAAAAAATTTGAAACCTTGTCCTACAGTGATACATGTATGCCAAAGTTTGTAGCAGCACAATTCAGAATAGCTAATTCTTGGAAGCAGCATGTAAACCCATTAGCAGATGACTGAATAACGAAAATGTGGTGTTGATCCATAATTGAATACTAATTGAATATAAAGAAGGGAAAATTTGATACATTATTTTGGAAAATAGATGCACCTGGAAAATATAATGTCAAGTGAAATAAACCAGACACATAAGCTTAAATAAAATATAGTGTCTCTCATTTGAGTAATACAAAGCACAAAGAGAATGATAAGAATAGAAAGAGACAAGAGGAAGATCTCTCCAAATTGAAAGAGGTCCAAAGGATCAAGAGCAAAGGGAGATGGTTAGGAGATGGAGAAACAGCTAGAATACAGATATGCCCTGCACAGGATCTTAATAGCTCAATGAATCTAAACATTATATGATTCAAACATGAACTAAGATTAATAATATCAACAAGAATGAAAGTGAAGAAAGGGGAAATAAAGGAGGAGGTTTGGAGGGAAGAGAAAAAGGTATGGGAATTTAAAAAAAAAAAAAGAAATACTGCATGGTGCACATACATGTACATGTGCCCCAAGATGACTGTAAAATGCATGTACTATAAACATATACTAATAAAACTATTTAAAAATAGTAAGATTTAAAGAAAAAAGTGTAAAACTATGTAATAAAGTTCAGAGGAAGAGAAAAAGAAAAATATTTGTATGTGCACAGAAATCTGTACACAAATGATTCACTGCTGCTCAACACTGTTGTACATGCCTGTAACTGCAGCACCTTAGAGGTGGCAGTAGGGATATTTTGCGACCTAGAAATACCCTGGCCCAAAATTCAAAAATTCAAGGTTACAGAGACTAGAACTTGTTCTAGTACAAGTTACCAAGTATTTTCAAACTGCTGACCTTACTTTATTATTCCCTCAGGTGCTAGATCTTTGCTTTCAAACTTCTTAGATTTCACTTTTGGAAACTATTTTTTTCCAATAAACAGCTTTGAGTTTGCTTGCATACTTAAACAAACGTAATGAGGGTAATTATTTAAATTTTCATTTAGTTATTTTTAATTTTAAGTAGAATTTAATTATGCTTGAAAGAGCTGAGAATATTAGTAACTAATACTTGGCTTGTTAAGAACTATGTTTTTGAAGGTTATTTTTTTTTTAAATTTCCTTCTCAAAACTTGTTTAGTCAACATAAGTAATTGTAATTGATTTATAAATAATATTTGCTAAGAAGAAAAGAAATCGAAAAATTACCTCTAGTAGTCACTTTTTACTGTTCTTTCATGTCATTATTAATGATAAATAATATTGAATCAGAAATATCAGTTCCACATCTCTTTGAAGATATACATTTCACTGTATGCCTTGATTTTTCCAGAGAATAAATTTACACATGGTGCATTTTTCTCAATATAAAAACATCAAAAGTTTAAATTTCTGAAGTTAACCACTGATACACTTTGTTCATTCTTCTAACAAAATTATTAACAGTCATTTTTTTATTCACAGATACTGGCTGACTTAGAAAACCATGCCTTATTTAAGAATGATCTGGAATGTCAAAAGCTGATTCTGGAAGCAATGAAATACCATCTCTTGCCAGAAAGAAGAACTTTAATGCAAAGTCCAAGAACTAAACCCAGAAAATCTACAGTTGGAACTCTGTATGCAGTAGGAGGAATGGATAACAATAAAGGTGTGTGATTCCTAATCCGTATTAATACATCCCTTGTGTCATACCAGGACTGTTTCTCATTCCATCCATATGCACCAACACTACTACAGAATTTTAAGCTTTAAAATTCATGATCAAAGGTTAAGGAAAAATTAAAAGATAATTCGTTTTTCTGTTCTGAAGCTAATGCCTTTGCATTAATCATTAAATCATTCTTTGTGTATGTGTGCTTCATATACCAGACTTCAAACAGAGTGAAACAGTAACTCAAAATGTTTATTTTGAAAGCACAGATCACATGATTTGTTGGCTACACAGTATTGACAGCTGCATTTGGCTCTAGGTAAAGGAAAAGCCATGTCCCAGGTTTATGATTGTTGAGTATATGATTTTGAGGAGACTCAAACTTTGAGAACTGAGAATATCATAAAGAAATAAAAAATAAATAGAAATTATGTTACTGTCATAACAGTAGAAGCCATAATTCATAAAATTATTTTTCAGTTTAATTCTTCAGAAGAAAATAGTTTATTCAAAAACTTAATATATGTATTTAAAAGATTTGTTCTTTCTATCTGTAGCTATAGGAAAAATCGCCATGAACAAGTGTCCTCTTCAACCTTAATATTTGTGTCTTTATTTATCAATCATCTCAAAAACTAGTAATTATGCTTGCACTTTATAGGTAATATAATTAGCCATAATATATTTCAAGGCATGCAAAACATAATTGAGAAACACTGTTGCAGGCAAATATGTAAGTGCTCTCAAAAGAATTTTATTATTTAAAAATCAAAATAAATCAACAAACTTACTATAAATTGAAAAATCATGATAGCAGCTAAAAGAAAAGACTTTATATAGTCAATATAAAATGATACATGTTCTCATTTTGTGCCTGCTAAAAGATATCCTATGACTATTAGATGGTTTATATAGTTTAGTTTTTTGAAAAGTTTAATTCATTTTTACTAAAAAGTTGATTTCAAGTATCACATTAAATGACTCTCAGAATGTGAACTCATGAAAATGAAAACAAAAGGAATTTAAAAGCTAAAAGTAATATACAATTAGTTAGCAAATCAAGATTGTAAAATTCCCAAATGTTTTTCACAGTATGGGATGGATTAATATATTTGTAATGAGACTATGGTACTGAATGAGAGAAGATGGTCATTCTTACAGTGTTTTTTGAAATGGAAACACCTTCCAAAATTTAAACCTAAATAGAGCTGCTCTGCCTGAATATGTTTCTTTCCAAAAGAAAAGAACCAAGATAATATTCTGATAGTTAACTTATTGTGTAATTTAATTGGATTAAGAGATATACATTTTTAAGGCATGGTTTCTGGGTATATCTCTGAGAGAGTTTGTTTTGAGAAGTGATTAACATTTGAATCAGTAAACCAAATTAAGACATTAAAATATGATCTTCAACAATGGATAATCATCTTTCAAATCTTTAAAGACTTAGATAAAAGATAAAAGCAGCCAAAGGGAGAATTCACTCTTTTTTCTGATGGAGGTCATTTATCCACTCCAGCCTTAGGCTTTCACTTCTTTTTAAAAATTTTTATTTAAAGAAAGACAAAATAAAACAGAAAATGGATAGAAATAATACATACAGTTCAGAGAAAAAATAAACAATAAGAAATCACTAGTTAATGTTTACATCTGTCCTTTTACAAATAGTTGTTCAAGACACAAAAGTGGAACATATAAAGTGGGAATTCAAACAGTGAGACTGCAAACAGTTCTGTTCAACTATCCAACAAAAACTTAGTAATATGGTCATCAATCCTATACACTTTAAACATATATGCAGTTATCCATATTTTCATTTATGTTGGGATTAAACAAACTGGAACAGGCTAAAATTATTCTGAACAAAGAATAATAGTATTGCTGGATTTTACATAATGGCACTCCGTGATCAGCACTGGGTACTGTAGTGTCTTTAAAAAAAAAAAAAATTTAAAGAAAGACTAAACAAAACAGAAAATGGGTAGAAATAATACATACTTTCAAAGAAAAAAAATAAGCAGTAAGAAATCACTGTTGATGATTACAGATTGCCCTCTTACAAATAGTTATTCAAGATACTAAAGTGAAGTATATAAAGCAGGAATTCAAACAGTGAGACTGCAACCAGTTCTGTTCAACTATCCCTCAAAAACTTAGATGTATGGTTTTCAATCTTATACATTTAAACATATATGCAATTATCCATATCTTCAATTATGTTGAGATTGAACAAACCCAAGTAGTCTAATATCACTCTGAACAAAGAATAGCAATATTGTTGGATTTCACATTATGACCCTCCAGGATCGGCGCTGGGTACTTTAGTGTCTCTTTTTCTTCAAAGTATCTGTTCATTTCATCATGTGTCATAAGATCAGTTCTAATAAACTATTTGTGGATTCTACATGTGCATGAGTCTTAACATGTATTTCTATCCTTTCTGTGTTAGAAGGAGAAGCAAAACAAAGCAAGACAAAACAAAACATATTCCTATAAACACATGAAACAAAAAAGACATATAAGACTGTTGTACAAGGAGTTCCACCATAGTTCCTGTGTTGTCTCTTGTTATCTTCAATAGATTTGGCTATATCATCAGACATAGTATAATTGAATATATCAGTACATAACAGTATTAATAAAAACACAACTTGTATATAGTATAAAACATCAAAAGCAGACAGTTATCAAACCAGAATGTGAATCGTAGAGTCTTGTGATATTTAGTGTAGTTGCTTATACTCTCAGACTTGATAATATCTATCATAACAGTTTTGAATAAAATCTGTTAATACCAAACAGCAATCAAACAAACCAGATTTAACTAAGATCAGTCATGATAAAACAGGGTAAGTCATACAGGGCTACAGATTAAGATAATAGGAAATTAAAAATGATTATTGTGCTATATCCTGATATTTTGGGAATAGCTGTCTGTGCCCTCAAATCTAATGCAAAGTAGATAACTGGGACAGAATAAAATCTATCAAAAATAAAAGCTATCGAAGCAGAGTGGTGCGAGTAATGTGGGATTTAAATCCTGATACACTATGAACAACATCTTCTGCCGTCTTTTTTAAGACTCTCCCTCCCCTTTCACTTCCCCAGGGTACTGCACTGTACATTTTTGGTCTCACCAAGACTCTTGGTTTTAAATTGGGGGAGGAGGGCAACTTGCTATTTACCTAAGTGTTTCTGAACCTTCTCTCTCCTGAACTTGATCTTTAATTGTATTACTTTATCTATAAAAGCCTATCTTTCCAACCTATCCACAAATACTTGTCTAGTTGCTGCTATTACTCTCTGGTCCTCTGTCACATAGAGAATTGTTTTCTCATATTTGATTTTCAGTCCATGAACTCTTTTTCATGTTAATTATATTTCCTATAAATAGCATCTTGGTGGACCCTGCTCCTGATCTACTCCATGTGTGTGTGTGTGTTTTTTTTTAATTTAGTGTATCAAGGCCATCTATATTAGAGATTATAACTAATCTTCTCTGCCTTGTTCCTGTTATGCTCTTTTTTATCATCAGTCGTCTGCTTATCTCCTTCATTCTGTTTTCTGCTCCATTCATTGAGGCTTCTCTGCCACTGTTTCTGGAATTCTAGTACTTTTCTCTCTCTCTAGAATGCCCTGCAGTATTCTTTGTAGAGTTGGATTGGTGGTGGCAAATTTCCCAAGTTCCTCTTTGTCTTGGAAGTATCTTGTTTCTCCGTTAATTTCTAGAGACAGTTTATCAGGGTATATCAATCTGGGTTGGAGGTTATTTTCTTTCAGGGCTTAGAATATTCTGTTCCAGGCTCTTCTTGACTTGATGGTTTGTGTCGAGAAGTCTTCTGTTATTCTGATGGGTCTTCCTTTATAGGTTATCTGTTTCTTGTCTCTAAGAGCTTTTAATATTCTGTACTTATATTGAATTTCTGGGATCTTGATTATTATATGCCTGGATGTGGCTCTGTTTTGGTTGTAGGTGGCTAGAGTTCTGTATGCCTCATACATCAGAATATCATTTCCTTTTTTATGTTTGGGAAGTTTTCCTTAATTATTTCTGTGAATAACCTTTGTAGTTCCTCTGTTTGTGCCTCTGCTACTTCATTCACATTCTTTATTCTCAGGTTTTAGATCCTCTAGTCATCTTCTAGCCTTTGTATTGTTATTGCTTGTTTCCTTGTTATTTTTAAAAAGTTTTTCCTTTTTTAATCCCACATTGCAAACCTGTCCTCCAGTTTGGATAATCTATCCTCAGTTTCTTTCAAGCAGATTTGCCATCTTTCCATAGAGTTTTTAATTTCTTGGTAATTTCTTTGACTCTGCCTCATGTATTCTATATTTTATTTATATTCTTCTTCAAATGGTTCTCTCCTTTGTTTGAGTTCCTCCCTTCTTCTGTCTGTGTCTGCTTAAGGGATACTTAGCATCTCTTTTATTAATCTTCTTATATTTTGCTTTACTTGGCTAAATATTTAACTTTGGAACTCGTCTGTAAGGTCCCAAAGATATATCTCTGTATGTCTCTTTATGATGCTGTGTCTGATATTGCATGTTTGCTGTTCTCATTCTCCTTTGTATTTTCCTGTCCTGGGTCACTGTTCTCAGGATTGGGGCCTGGGAACTCCTTGTTGTTGCTTCCTCTTTCCATCCTTTTTGTTTCTTCCAGGAGGCTCCAGTTTCTTTCTTTGTTGGTTACAGTTCTTCTGAAGCACCACTGTAGTGTGCTAGTGAGTGGCAGACAAGGGCATCATATGTTGGTTCCTCCCCCTCAGATCAGTCAAGTTTTTGAAGCCTGCACTGTATTACTATGTGCTGCCTCCCCTCCATATCAGTCAAACTTCTGAGGCTTTACTGCGTTAGTGTGCGCCACCACCATAGGGAATTGCTTTGGATAACCTATTGGTCTCAGCCAGGTCACATGACCGAGGCCTACCTCATTCCACCAATCCCATTAGGGAAGGGAAAAACTGACTGAAGTCACTGCTGCCATTTGTACTTGGCAG